GCTCTCTTTGCTTTTGACCAACATATCATTACTGTACACCTCCATAGTTTCATCGAGTTGTTGTTTGAAAATCTTATTCATCAAGCGTTGGTAAGTTGCCCCTGCATTCTTCAACCCAAAGGGCATCACTGTGTAGCAGTAAGTCCCATAAGGCATAATGAACGCCGTTTTCTCTTGATCCAATTCATGCAAGGGAATTTGGTGATATTCAAGCATCCATAAAGATGATTCGTTTGTGGCCGGCGGTTGCGTCCACCAGATGATCAACCTTTGGTAATGGATACTCGTCCTTGGGGCATGCCTTGTTCAAGTTCATAAAATCCACACATACTCGCCACTTTCCCTCTTTCTTCTTGGCACACACCATGTTGGACAACCACTGAGAAAATTGTACTTCCTTGATAGAACCGGACCCTAACAACTGTCCACCTTTTCATCCACGGCCTTTGCATGGTGAGGTGCCGTCCTCCAAGCCTTTTGCCTAACAGATTTAAATGATGGGTCAACATGGAGCTCATGGATCATTACCTCGGCGCTTATCCCCGTTATCTCAGCCTGAGTCCACGAAAAGACATCAGAGTTCTGTCGTAGAAATGAAGTCATGTTAGTCTTCTCGACATCATTGAGTGACTCCCTTATTAAAAAATAATTCTCATCGTTATCCTGGCCCAAGAGGACTTTAACCAAGACTTCAGTAGACCGGTCGGCCGGTTCCATAATGGGCTCATTTACCCCCGACCGACTGAACTGTGATTGTTATTTGACAACCACTACTTCATGATCACGTTCCTGATTTTGATCGCTAACTCCAGTTTTCATCGCGACGTAAAAATAGCTTTTCGCTGATGCCTGATTGCCCCGAATTTCCATTATGCCCTGCGGGGTAGGAAACTTGACCTTCTGATGATAAGACGAGTGGACTGCCTTCATCGCATGTAACTAGGCCCTGCCCATAATGACATTATATGGAGAGTCGGAGTCTATTACTACGAATTTCAACTGGGATAGTGACAATCCCCGCATGTACCATAAGAGTGATCTTCTCAAGGGGGAGGGCGCTGGAACCATTGAAGCCTATGAGGAGGTCTTTACAGGTTTCCAAATCTCCTTGTGAGAACTCCATTTTGTGGAAAAGGTGGTCATACATCACCTCAGAAGAATTGCCCGAGTCTACCAAGATTCTCTTGACATCAAATTTGTCGACCTGCAAAGTGATCACCAATGCATCTTCATGGGGAAAGACTATCCCGCCCAGGTCGGCATCAAAAAATTGAATAATCTCGGCGCTGTATCGTGGATTTTTGGGGGGTCACTCTTCACCCCTTTCTTCCACCCTTACCTCTTGAGAGACCTTTTGCAGCTCAGCGCGGAGGAATTTATATGTCGGTCTTGCCACATTGCAGGCATGTATGATGTCAATCACGGGTGCCACCTCAACAGATGTCTTGGTCCCTTTCCTAGCCGATACCCCGGGAGCCCCTCTGTCGATGAATTCTCTGAGGTGTCCTTCTCGTACCAGCTACTCAAGGAAGGATTTATACACCCTACAATCTTCTGTTAGATGTTTGATATCCTTATGATAAGAACACCGGGATATTGAATCCCTCATCGACGGGTCTTCTTGCATCGTGGGGGGCCACTTAAAGTAGGGCTTGTCTTTTATCTTATTCAATATCTTATAAATGAGCTCCTTAAAGACCGTGTTCACCCCCTAAAAAAGGACAAGCGATTGGGGGTGGAATGGGTGCCCCCCTCCCGACTGGTTGTTCCTTCTCTTTTTTCCTCGGCACCGGGACTCAGTTCTCGAGCATGCTGGATTCTTCCTCCACTTAGACGTACTTGTTGATCCTGGCTATCAAGTCTTTCATGTATGCCGAAGCCTTCTTGTTTAGTGATTTATATAGATCAATATCCCGGGACAACCCCAGCCTAAATGATGCTGCGGCTATTGCCTCCGAACACGCTTTTATCTCGTTAACCTCCTCCCAGTATTAGATGACGTATTGTCGAAGGGACTCCCCTCCCTTCCACCTAAGCGTTAATAGGGCGTTGATGCCCTTCAACTTCTTACTGCAGGTGATGAATCGAGCTATAAAGAGCTCTATCAACTGTTTCTAGGATTTAACGCTCTCAGGAGCTAAGTTCTAGTACCACTTTATGTCTGTGTCCCCCAAGCTCATGGAAAAAACTCGGCACAACACCCATTGATCGGTGTCATAGATGGACATCAACTGTTTGTACTGCCGCAAGTGACCCTCGGGGTCTATCCTTCCATCATAGATTTTGAATCGTGGGACAATAAACTTTTTTGGCATTTCAGTCTCCCTGATAGCCCGAACGAACGGGGAAATGATTTCGTCGGCATCACCCTCAGGCTTGAGCTTGCGATGTGCACCGAGGCGCATCCGGGGATCCCCTCGGGGCCTCCCTTCTCTTGGCCCCCTGGGTGTGGACTCTGCCTGGGACTCGACTGCCCTGGTGTCCTCTAGTAACCTATGGCGGAGGTCCCACTGAGACAGGCTCGCTTTTTGGCCCGATTCTGATTTCTCCTTGGGGTCGACCACTCGCTTTGATGGTCACGCTCCTCGGGCAAGCACCCATGCCATCCTTTCCTAAGAGCCTTTTGCCTGGGATCCCAGGATTAGTCTCCACTGAGGCTCCGATCCTCCCGTTCATGACTTCGCCCACTCGCACTCATCAACTACTCAAAATCGTCAAGTCATCGCCGAACCTTGGCATTTTTCTTCTCAAGTTGCTTAATCCGTTTACCCATCTGCTTCTCTATCATCTCAAAGATATCTCGAGCCAAGAGGTCGTGGCTCCCAAGACCTTGATCCATAAGGAGCGTTCGTTGCGAGGAATGCTCCCCTCTGCCTGACTGGATTAAGGGGCCAGGTTCTGGGACCATTGGAAGCTGGACAGCCTCTGCGTTCCTTACGCACACACTTGTTCCTCCTCCTTTACCCCGAGATCGAGTTTTCACCATTAGACGATCGCTACGGGAAAAATGTTTGCGTTCCCACAGATGAATCCCAGAGTTGACGAGCCAAAAAATTGGGAGGCTCTACCAGAGGGAAACCTAGATCCCGAGGTGGACGTCTAAAGCTATAGTTTATTTTTGTGCTAGACTAGAAAATTTATTTACGATCACGTATAGTCTAGTATTTTGTTTATTCCGTTGCTAAGTTTAAATGTTATTCTTTTGGAATGTAATTGTCATAGCTTGGCCTATTCTTTTGGAATGATATTGTGAATATTACATATGGTGAATGAAATTTTAAAGGTGATATGGATGATAACCCGTCAAAACAACTTAAAGTTGTTACATCTTTGTCAAATAAAGTTGACAATAAAGACAAGTTGTCACGAGATAAATATCTCTCTATTATTCAAAGATCTTTAACTTTGTCTCCATATATGGAGCTTAATTCCCCATTTTTCTCTAAAATTATTGAAAGGATATATCCTTATGATATTAATGATCCCAAACAAATCACGGATATTAATGATCCTTGACAAATCAGGAAATATTTAATTTAAATTTGGAAAAATTACCCACTTGAGTTTAAAAGAAAATTCATAGTGGAACGTCTTAAAGACATTGATAAAGAAGAAGATAAATCTTCAACTGATAAAGTTTCATCTTCTATATCTATAGTTCCCTTTTCCAGTATAAATACTGGAACTAATTTAAATCTTGTGAAAGTTCTTAAAGAACTAATTAAAAAGGAAAAATCCCATTTTTTAAATCCTGAGTAGCTTAAAACATCAGTTATGGAGGAATTTGATTTTCAGATCATGTCTACTTTTGGCATGAGAAAAACAGAAAAGATGTATATCGTTAAACCTCCTACAGTTGCTATAAAAGGCAACGAGAAAGATAAAGTTGAGGAAGAAAATAGAAAATTTCCTACTCCTATTAATTTCGATGACGACTTTATGGATTCCAAGGGATATACCCCTCTTAAATGTGACATTGAAATTAACAAAGATTTGTTAAATGTTGATATGAAGATAAATCTCCATGATAACAGAGATAATGTACTGTCTAGTTTATTTTTCAAGAAATGATCAGATAAACCTGATTTCTCGGATAAAGCCGACACGAAAGGTATGCCCTTACGTCACTACAATGATTGTAAATAGTGTACAGTATTTATAAACGTATGCAATGACATCATTGTAATTTATTAAAATTGAGAACAGTATAAAGTTGTGAATAGTATTTTTTATTTTGAAATTCGAATTTCATGTCCGGCTCTGCCCGACTTATGGAGCACCGCACCTTCACCGCACCCATACCTCATCTCTTCTACCTCGTCCTTTTCTCTACCAACTCCTTTGACCATCTCTTTCCTTCCTTCCTTTTTGCACTCCCGATGAACCCTTTTCTTGTATAAATCTTCCTTCTTCCACCTTGTACTCTACTACTGTAAATAAAATATACTTTGTAAATGCACTTTTGATTTAAATAAAAGTAATATATATATATATAATCACGCGCATTGAGTGACAATGCGTCGAAAGTTTTTCTGAATAAAGAATCAATGGCAAGGAAGAACAGGAGAAAATTGGATGATGGGTTGCGTATGTTCTGACAGCATACATACGTTCGAGACGCGGCAAAAACTTTGCATGACCGCAAAACGTGTCAATGTATAGGAGGGAGGGAGGGACCATATCAAAATAAAGCCTTTTGAGAGATTTATACCGGGTGCTTGTTGACTGAAGCCGCTTCGTGTTACGTACGTCTATGGAAGTTTCTGTAAAAAAAGTATTCTACTCGTATTTTATTTATTTTTTGTTTTATACTTAATAAATTATGTTATATATTAATTATAAACGAATTGTATCTGTTTTTCTTTAATCGACTCCAGTCACATTCAATTCAATTTATTATATTTGTATCTTATTAACAGATTATTCCCTATAAATGGGGACTTTCCGTCGGTCTCCTCCCCAACTATAACGTTCAACAACCGCCTTTTGGCCTCTCTCTCTCTCTCTCTCTCTCTCTCTTCAAACCCCTCTGGTATTGCTCCATCCTTTGCTTTTCTTTTGATCTCTCCACCAATAGCTTTCACACTCTCTGTACCATTTGGATCTGGTAATGTTCTATCCAAAGCATTGCAATATCAGTGTGTTTGATAGTGTTTTACTGTTAATTCCTTTTGGATTTACATTTAATTTTTTGGCGTTCTAAGGTTCAAGTTATTGTGATCCGTTCTTGATGTTAAGTAACGAAGACTTTGCAAACGACTACTTCAGACAACAAACCACACTGTGATACCCCCTCATTTATGCATTGTATGTATGAATAGTAGATGTTTCTGGTTTTCACTTGCAGATCCATGGATATATTTCTCACTAGTTTTCATGACCGAATTTCTTAGACTTCTTTAGCGTTGGTCTTTTTGGTGATTAGAAATTGAGGGTTCTGATATGGGTAGTTTTCATGATGTAGATTTTTTGGGTATTTGCATTTTTCATTGAATAATTTCCTAGTTTGAGAATTTTTCCCCTTATTACTTGGAATGAGGCTTTGAATGATGTGCAAATCTCTATGGTTTTTTTCTGATTGTTTTCGACTTTGTCCTTGGGTTACTCCTACAAGTTTCTTTCTTCATGTAGGTTGCTTATGATGGCCAATTTCCCAATTTCTTCGCTGATTTATTTATACCCTTTATTTATTCCTCCTTTGTGTAGGAGACAAGTTTCTGTTTTCTATGCATTGACTTTTTTTTTTTTGGTTGCAATAGTAGCATTTGTACAAATGGAATTTGGGCAAATTTTAAAGTTTTCGTAATTTTTAATGTTCCATATTATGTATGAAGAAAGAAAGAAAGAAAGAACAGCATGTTGACTTTCATCAATGCCATTTCTTCTTCTTTTGTAGTTCAGAGATTCGTACATCAAAATGGAATACGAAGCCCACTACCAGCAGGTTCCAAAGCCAAAATATGAATGTCTTCTCTTTGGTGAGCCTTTCTCCTGATTATATAATTCAGCAAAAATTTGGAATACCACCGAAAGCGATCTGAAAATCTCTTGTTTTTGACTTTCAGATCTTGATGATACCCTTTATCCCCTGAGTTCTGGTTTGTCAAAGGAATGTACCAAGAACATCATAGGTAAGGCATTAACGATACCTAGATCCTGATTCAAACAGAATTGTTCAATGTTATTTTAAATAGTTTTGGTTGTGCATCTTTGACATAGAATATATGATCAATAAGCTTGGCATTGAGGGGGGTAAAGTCCCTGAAATGTGTGCTCAACTGTACAAGGATTATGGGACAACAATGGCTGGCCTCAGGGTACGATCTCAAATATAATTTACTCCATAACTTTTCTTTGATTAGAAGAGAGATCATGCCGATGTGCGAGTAGATTTTATTATGGGTTTTTTGTTTTCTATCCAGGCTATTGGCTATGACTTTGACTATGATGACTATCATAGGTATCAGTTTCCCTACTCCATTTTCTCCATGTAATTATATTGTTTAATACGAGAAGTGTCTGACCTAACATTTATTTTTCAGTTTCGTACATGGGAGATTACCCTATGAGGTCTTAAAACCTGACCCTGTCCTAAGGAATCTTTTACATAGCATACCAGTTCGAAAAGTTGTAGGTTTCTGACTTAGTAATATCTCCACAACTGCATGATTACTCTATAATGCTTCCTACCTATGACAATATTCTGTGTGTGTGTGATTAGATTTTCTCAAATGGAAATGAAGCCCATGTTGCTAAAGTTCTTGGCACACTTGGATTAGAAGATTGCTTCGAAGGACTTATAAGCTTTGAGACTCTGAATCCTACTCACAATAGCAATATCTGCCTCAATGAGGATGACGGTGAGTTTTAAGGGTCACCGACTCACCAATCAACATTCTCTGTTGGAAGTTTTAACAATATTGACCATTCCTGTGAACCTAATGCAGTTTCGGTCTTCCCAAAGACTCCCATTGTTTGCAAGCCATTTGAAGATGCCTTTGAACAAGCTTTCGGGATAGCCAAAATCAGCCCTGAAAAAACAGTAAGATAATTTAGCCTTTTTTCTGAGCAATGTATTTAGGCTTTTAATTGGCTGTTGGGGTATCGCTTTGTTTGTTGGATTTTTTAACAATGTTATTCATTTTTCTTTCCCCAGTTGTTCTTTGATGATAGTATCCGTAATTTACAGACTGGTAAACATATGGGCCTCCACACGGTTAGGGTAAGCTAAATTTATTTAGATTTTGGGTGGCAATTAAATTAATAGTGGCGAATTTTATTAGTATTCATCTTGCTATTATTTTTTCAACAGCTTTACTAAGATTGTGCTTACGTACTGTATACTGTATGATACAGGTGGGCTCTTCCCGTCGAGGACATGGCGTGGACTATGCACTAGAGAGCATCCACAACATCAAGGAAGCATTGCCAGAGCTTTGGGAAGCTGTAGAAAAGTCAGAAGATGTCCAGTACTCAGGAAAGACAGCAATAGAGACACCCGTGCGAGCTTAGTTTTAAACTTTTCAGGGCAAGAATAAACCGTTTAGTTGAGGTCTCACCATCCCTAATTATATCGGTTTGTTTGGTGGATGTGGATGTCTACATATGAACACTAATAAAATATCTCTCTTTTTAGTTTGGTATCACCTTATTACAATTAAATGCCCACCATGCTATAATGAATGCGTTGTACATGACGTAACCTGTGGATGTGGTGTGTTGAGCAGATGATGAACCCTGAAATGTGTCAGGGAGATAGATAAATGATGTCGATATCACTGGATTTTTATCCCTTTTTTTTTTTTTGGTTTAGTGGGCTAAATTTAGATCTCTTAAGCTTTAACCTGGTTATTGAGAGGTTGGATAACACATCAAGTAGTTCAGATATTGCTGACCCTCAAATCTGGTGGCTGTTCTATTTGATTATATCTTCTTACAGAAACTTCATTGCTGAAGGGTTTGTCCTTTCCTGTTTGTATAGTATGCAAGATCTTGAACACGGTCATTATTGCTGCATGCAATTTTTCAGATGCTACAAAGCATAGATACGTAACCAATGCATTAGGAGTCAAACAGCCATTTTATATGGCATTTTGTGTTCTCTATTCATGTGCTTAGTATAATTGTCAAGCCTCCCCTCAAACTTGTTACCACAGAAGGTTTGTTGCCTACGCATTTCTAGTAATGTCTTTTTCTAGGGGTATATGCCATAAACAAGGGCAGAGGCAGACAACTTTTCTAGTAGGGACAACTTTAAACATAGAAATATTCACACTCCAAATGTCAACATTGTTTTCACACAAGTGTGGTTTTATTTAAAAAAAATGCCAACAAATGATATAACTCATATTTTCAAGCAATATACAAAAAGAGCCAACAAAAAAAATCATTTTATAGAAAATGTTGCTGGTATTTCCTCTAAAGAAATTCATTCATTGATGATTCAAAAGTTAATTTATTTAGTCGAATACAAACTTAGTATCCATTATTTAACCTCAATCAATCAAAAAATTTTACAAAAATTAACCAATTTTTATTATAAATAATTAAAAAAAATTAAATATACAATAAGCCTTACTAGGTGTGTTCAACTGATATTTAGGGTCGGAAGTAGCCACTCCACCAACCGAATTGAATCTACTCAAAAGTTAAAAAGACAAACCCAATCGAATCTACTCGAAAGTAAAAAAGACAAACCGAATCGATAACCGACTTTTAATGTTGGTTAGTTCACAGTCCGGTTATTGGGTGGGCTTAAATTTTATTGTGGCCCAAGCTCAGTTAGTTTGCCCAACAAGTCTATAAACTTAAATTGGATTCAAAACATCCTTTTTAAGCCCGAGTTTAAATTTTATTGTAGACCTAAAATTCCTTTGGCCCAAGCTCAATTATTTTGCCCAGCAGCAGGTCTATAAAATTGAATTGGATCCAAAACATTCTTTTCAAGCCCGGCTTAAATTCTATTGTAAACCCAAAATTCCTTTCCCAAGCCCAGTTAATTTGCCTTGCAAGTCTATAAACCTAAACTGCGTCCAAAAATCATTTTCAAGCCCAAAACTATTTCATATTCTATACATCATTTGAGGCCCAAACTAATTTGGTATTTTGTGTTGCTGTGCCATGAATTATTTTACAGCCTACAACCCAATCAAATAAGAGCAAAAAAACATCATCATTAAAATGAAAATAAAGAATGTAGACTGCAATAACTATGCAAGTTTACTTCAAAAATAGTTGTACAACTACAACAATCAAAACTGGTAAATCATTTGCATTGCCAAAAAACAATAGTCTAAATACAAAAGTCAATATGCTTCAAAAATTTGTAGTGCACAATTCCAAAAATCTGGTTTATCATTCCAAAAATTAGAACTCTCAACAGTCATATATCCTACAAGGTAAGTAGTGCAAACACAGATTTATAAACACAACCATGATTCTTCACAAATTACTTAAGATTAAGAACATAAAAAACATACTAAATTGATTAAAACATACCAAAGAGTAGAATATTTTTTGTCAAAACAGTAGCCTAAATACAATTATCAATAACAGTCGCATGTGTTGCACTCCCATCCAGCTCTAAGATAAAGCATAAACAAGATTTGATTACATTTAGAGAACTAACATTATATATGTATATATTACTGAAACAATAAGAAGTTGAAAAACTAACATTCAATGATTTCTGTGTAAGCCATTGCATCTCGGTCATCAAAAGGATTTAGATATTTTAACCAATTTTGTGCAATAATAATGACCTCAACTGTTTTTGGGAATAATGAATTTCAAAATGGATCTAGTACACTCCTCCTATACTAAATGCAGACTCAGAAGTAACTGTGGATATTGGAATAGATAACACATCTTTTGCAACATGAGAAAGGACGGGATACTTAGCCGAATTCAATTTTCATCAATTAAGAATGTCAAATTCTGAATTTTTTTGGCTCACAACCATCACTCAAATACTAGTTAGCCTCAAATTTAGTCTCCAATTGAGCACTACTTGATTTAAACTGAGTATATATATGCCAACAGGCCTGACTAGTATTTATAACACTCACACTTGAAGAACCAGGGTCACATAAAGGAGGATTAGAGGCATTTCACGATTGTATCTCGCTAGAATTCCCAAAAACTAATGCATACCCATTATACAACCACTAAAACACATTTTTTACTTTGCCCAACATTTCCTCAGCCTCTTTTTTTTTTTTTTTTTGCTTCAAATTTTTGTTTGAACCAAAATGATAACGAACTCTACTTACATTGTGGATCTAGTAAAACAACAACAAATATCAATAAATTCATTTTTTCAATGTTTCTCCAATATTTATCATACTTCTTCTTCGTATCCATTGCCATGACACTCAAAAGGGGATCATGATTCTCACATAATTTGGACAAACTAGTTTGAACAATACACAACTCTTGAATAAAGTAAATTATATGTGACATACAAGGACTCACAAATTCGCAAAGTAGAATCATAAAAAATATTTAGAAATATCACAATAACCCTCACATTTTCCCGGTCAACATACAAAGGAGACCCTAATGTCCCTTCACTAAAGTAAGAAACATATTGACCATCATCATCCTTTAATCTTTCAAAGGCCTTTTGATATTTTTGTGCATTCTCAAGCATTAGAAAAATGGAGTTCCATCTAGTTGGAAAATCAAGGCGCACCAAAGTCTTACCATCAATCCTTTCTTTGTCCACACATCTTTTAAATTTCTCAATCCTTAGAGGAGATGACCTCACAACATTGTGCACCCTATTATTGAATCATTATGTTATTTTAAGCCCTCACTCATGACAAGGTTCAAGATGTGTGTACGTCACCTCATGTAAAGGGACTTACTTCCTAATATATTACTGTTGGTGTGTCTTCTTAAATACTCAATAGTAGCATCATTTGAGGATGCATTATCAATTGTGATTGTACAAATCTGATCAATATCCCATGCAAGTAAACAAGCTTCCAATTGTTTCCCAATTGTGTCCCTCTACAATTCTTTTGTTTAACTTCCAATTGTCATTATTGATGCAAGCAACAAGACACATATAGTTAAGGTTTTGAATAGAAGTCCATGTATCAATTGTGAAACAAAAATTACTAGTCAAGGACTCAATAATTTTCTTTAATTTATCCCTTTCCTTTTGATAAAGTTTGATGTATTCTCTAGAAACAATAATGTGAGATGAAACTTGGAACTTTGGCTCTATTGTCCTACAAAACCTTCTAAATCCATGGGCTTCCACAACTCAAAAAGGCAACTCATCCATAATAACCATTTCAGCAAGTGTCATTCATGAAGTTTTTTGATTAAACTTATGAATCACGACATTGCTTAGACCTAAATCGCCCTCTGATTTTTTCTCAAAACTTAAACATGGCCGACTTTTTTTCACATTCCTACTAGAAAATTTTGTGCAGCTTTGGTTCACATGAAATGTAAACGATGACATACCACACTTTCTTAGAATCACATTGATAAGCTTGTGACAATATTTGCACTCCGCCCAGCGAGTTTGGCCTTTTTTCCTTTCTAAGAATTTGAAATGACTCCACACTTTTGACTTTCCTATTTTTTATTTTCGGATTTCTCATTCTCATTAGTCTCCATAGGGTCAACAATCACTCATGTAGAATTAGTCAAAGTTGTATTCCACTCCATCTAAATAAAAAAAATTAAATTGAACAAATTAAACATGCAAGTAAGATATACAAAAAATCCAAATTCAACGAATACAGAAAGCCACGAATCAAATAAGCACAAAAAGAGAACATACATAAATTATTTGTATCATACAAATATTAGGTAGAAAAATTTATGGTCTGATATCCAAAAAAAATAGATAGAATAATTTATGGTAAAAAAAATGAAAGAATTTGGGGTAGGTACTCTTAAGTCTCAAGCTATAAAATGAAAGAATTTGGGGTAGGTACTACTTTTAAGAGGAGGAGAAAAATGAAAGAATTCGACTGCTTTCAAGAAAAGAAAAGAAATATATTCAAAAATGTGTATAAGAAATTAGACAGCAAGGAAAAAAAAGAAAAAAAAATGATAGTTGTTGTTGGGCAAAAATTTGAATAGTTTGCTGAACATGACTTCACTCATATAACGAATAATTATACGAGTTTTATTAAATGTAGGTTAGACTCATTCCGGATAGTATATATCCGTTAATTATAATCTCTTACTTCAAGAGAATAACCTTTGATTTTAACGAGGAATTATTGCACGTTACCATTTACACCACAAGGACATTTTATTTGTGTTGGTGGTTGGACCTAGGTTGCTCTACGTACCCGTTATCAGGATCAAGTCGATTTGTAGTTCTGGGAGATTAAATTATTTTTGGGGTAAGATAAACAGGTAGATGACCCATTGATCTTGAATGGACAAAATGTCCATTATGTTTGAAATGGGTAAATGATCATTTGAATTGATATGAGTTTAAGAACCACTTGATTGTAGATGAGTTGTGACTGCGCCTAATTTAACTAAATTGTCCACGTATCAAAAAAGGAATCAAGTCAGTCGTAGTTCATGAAAAAAATTTAGAATTTATTTAGGAGTGTGACTACGCCCAGTGTAACTGCTAGACTGCCTACGTATCCAACAAGTGGAATCAAGTTGAATGTAGTTCAGAGGAAGAATTTGAAATTTATTTGAAGTTGATTTGGACTTGCGACTGCGCCTAGTTTAACTAGGCTGCCTATGTATCCGAAAGGGAATCAAGTCGAATGTAGTTTAGAGGAAGAATTTAAAATTTATTTGAAATTGATTTGGAC